TGGTGAGAAATTGATACATATTTGGTGGGTACTGAATAGTATTAGAGATATTTCTGAAAATGTGTTACTTAGCAAACCCAAGAATCTTGATAGTAAGATTTTTGAGCACCTTAAACGTCAATTCGAAGGCATCTCATTTGCACCAATATTAATATTCAAAGCACAGAAACTTCAGCACGTCCTCCAATAAATAGCATATGCAGTTTATGGTAAGTATTTCGGAGAAATGGCCTACAGGGCCTAATAACTTGACGTCTTCGCTAAAATAATTAACCTATCATATGATATGTGTGTCATAGAAGGAATTCGAATATAATAGAATCTGCATGCATCATCAGGTCATGCGATAAACATGTATCACAGAAGAAATTCGAAAACTATAGGCATGTGTAATGCACCGGTGAAGTGCAAGATAACCAAATTCGATAAATTAACACATGGCACGTTCTTTGTAGCCCCTGAGGCTGTATACGCGTTATTTAAGGGGAAACTACGTGTTTAAGGGTTCGCGTTTTTTTATACTTTTTCTTACACCTCAATCCTATATTTTTTTATTATCATGTCTGAAATTATTATTTCATATTTGAACCAAAGCAAGGATAAGTCTTTTTGGGGCTTTTTGTGTCGTTATCGGAATGAAATCGTTGCTATTACTCCACCTACTTCACGGGGGTGTGACCTTGATAACGACTGGGCTAAAAATTTCATAAGAGAAGCACAAAAACTTGAAGATTTGAACGAAAAGGTGTGTATTTTCTTATTTTGCAAAATTAGGGTAACTTCTGGCTGGACCACAATATGTGCAGTAGGCTGAGGAGAATTACTGGGTATGACCACTTGGGTAACCAGCCCCAAGTCCTCTATTCAGGCGCCCTAACTTTGTCGTTGGTAAAGGTCTGCGGATTCCGGAGGAGGAATCGGTTATGTGTCTTCCTTTTGGGGCATGCCGTTTATCATCTGATTTCTCTATACTATAGGGTTCGCCCTAAACCATTTGATTTTTGGCATGCCCTTACCACTAAATAAAAAATTACACACTGTTAACATTGATAAATGCCTTTCTTACAATAGGTCAATTCAGAACGACAACGTGTTGCAAAAAAATTGGAGGATTATTGGAATAATGTAATTGCAGAACGTGAAACAGTAAGTAAAACCGCTTATTTTATATTTATATATCGGCATTAGCATTAATACTATTTATGATTATTCTTCTGAAATTAGAAAGAAGATATCTTGGTCCGTGAAGCAGAAGAAGCTCGCATTCAGGATGAACTATCTCGTCTTCGGCACAAACTATCTGAAATACAAGAAAAAGTAAAAATGCAAAATTCAAGTAACCGGGAAATGGATGAAGATTCGGTTAATGAAGGTCCTGTACATGATGGTAGTGATGATTATGATATTCCAATATTTGATGATGACGATGACGATAACGATAATGGTGATGACGGTGATGGTAACAATGGTAAAAATAATAATAGCAACAATAACAATAATAATGACAATAACAATGACAATAATAATGATAATAATAATGGTGATGATGGTAATATTGGTAATAACGATAATGACAATAGCAATAATGATAATGATAACAATAATAATAACAATAATAATAACAATAATAACAGCATTGTCAGTGGTTCTATGAAGCGAAAAAAAAGAAAACGGGATAATGATAATGATAATAGTAGTAATAGTAATAATAGCGATAATGATAATGATAACAATAATGATAATAATAACAATAACAATAACGATAATGGTGATGGTAATAATTATAAAGATAATAATAATAACAATGATAATAGCAATAATGGTAATATCAAAGATAATAATAGTAACAACAGTAACAATGATAATGATAATACAATATCATCATCAGAACCACCATATAATCTTCGCAGTAAAAGACAAAAAACTTTCAATTATGTTCATGTACCTAAAAAACGTAAAAAAAATAAATCATCACCATTACCACGACAACAACCATCACGACGACAACCATCGCGACAATCATCACGACGACAATCATATGATAATTTTTTCGAAGATAACAATGGCAGTGGTGATGACGATAACAATAATAGCAATAACAACAATAACAATTCATGTATAGGATGTCCTGTACATTGCCCAAATTAATTCATTTTTTTATATTTTTTATCCTGTATTTTATTTTTATTTTTTACTGCATCAATAAAGCTGACCCTGGTAGCTATTTTCGTATATTTAATCGTGTTCATTTTTACATGTATATTTCGTGGAATTTATTACGTTGTATGTATACTAACCCCCATATTTGATCGAGAAATTTCTTGGCATTTTTACTTCCTGAACTTAGTTCAGGGATTTTTGTCACGTGAATTTATATCTTTACGATAAAGAATTGAATATATCTGCACCATATATAAAACGATGACAGATATGCAATCTACAATGGTTTCGTTAAGAGAATTAAATATCAAGCTTGCATTCGAGATTAGCGAACTTAGACAGAAGTATGTCGAGCTTGAAGCTAAGAATATCGAAGTCGAAGTTGAGAATACAAAATTAAAACAAGACAAAAAAGAAGTTGAAGCCAGATTTTTGAATCTAGAGCAGAGAGATAGAGAAAAAACAGACCTTATTGCTAAACTGAAACATAATGTCTCGCTAATTAAGGAACAGAGCTTGCAAAACGAGAATAATAGGTACACTCCCGAACAGATAGTCCTCTCTCAAAGAGAAAGTGATGTCAATATACCCAACCCTGTTATAAGCCAGTGCATTAGCCGTGCCAGCTCTACCAGTACTAATTCCAAATTGTTAAAGGATGATACTCTTGAGCAGATAGAAAATAACTTTGATAACACAGAGCATCGAACATCCAGATCTTCTGGTATATGCCAAGAAAGGGATAACCGATCTTTAGCATCTCCTGAACCAAATTCTAATGTATGTCAGGAGACAGAAACTCCGGAGGCCTTAATTGTATTAAGATGCTCCACACCATCAATTTGTATAAAAAATAAATCTTCAGAAGATATAGCGATCGATGAATTTCTAGACCTAAAAGAAAAGGAAAGGGTCAGTAATATGGTAAGAGAGAAAAATAGAGAAAAGAAGCTTAGATCTCAATTGAATAATATTTCACAATCTAATAAAAACAAAGTACAGAAGTTTATGTCAGGAGTTTCTACAAACTCTAGTTCGCAGTTACAATATACTGGTTCTATTAGTAATAGTAGCGCAGATAATGATGCGATACCTACAACCTTGAATGAAATAGAATCTCAACCCAGCAATACTAGCTTCACGTTTTTGTATGAAAAACTTTGTAATGCTATAATTCTTGCTGATCGCAAAACTCAAGAAGCAATTTTCTGTTATTGTAATTTTGGTGAAGCTCTCATTCAAAGACGTAATGAAATAGCATCAGAAAAACAAATTGATCCGGAATCTAATGCAGTTAGTAGAATTTTAAATAAGGAAGTTCGTGCTCAGCTCCCTGCAAATATTTCTGATGTACTTTTATGGAAGAGAATCGAAAAGGCTAAAAAGCTCTACAAACTTTTCAGTACAATAGGTAAGGATAAAATTTGTCGAATACATTCCTTTTCCGCTGATAGTATCTCAAAAATGACAAACAAAGATATTCAATATATTATAGATAACGTGCCATTTGACTATAGTATTAAGATAGAATTCACCTTAAAATCCAAAAACCCTGAACTTAGTTCAGGAAGTGATAACAAAAATTCTTTTAGCTCTAAACTATCCCAAGAAAACAATCAAGATTCAAAAACGGAGGCAAGCATCCTAACCACTTCCTCTATCCAGTCATTGCATACCTCCAATTCGGAAGATATGATAAGTGAGGATAACAAATCTCCATCGAATATTGAGGTAAGTATACCTACTGAATCGATTCCTTTAGACTCAAAGGGTCATTGCTCTACAATAGATTCATCCCAAGAAAATAATCAAGATAAGTCAAATGCTCGAAACTCTACTTCCTCGAAATTACCAGAAGCTGAAGTAAGTATATCACAGGTAAATACATCTAGCCACCTTGTGACTGCCTCTGGCAAGAATAACCATATAAGTTTTCGTAGGAAAGTATTAGATCAATATCCCAATATATTTTATGAATATAGTAATGAAGGTATCAATTATTATGGAATTAATTCTGAGTCATTATGCCCAATATGCAAGTTAAATCACGAGGATGGGGAAGGTGTAGAGGGCAATTATGAGGCTGAATATTACTATATCAAGTGTGAAGCATCCGAAATTGATATGATCCAGTACATTGATACTGAAATAATTGTATAAGCCCGCCTTCTCTCTTGTCAAAGTCAAGCTCGAAGTCAGAAAAATATATGTATCAAAACAAGTCAACTAATTTTCTTTTTCTGAACTAGAGAAGAAAAAGGGCGAGAACCTACATTTGTAAATGATAATATGTCTTCTAACTACTTTTGTCAGCTATTGTTAATTTAAAAAAATGTACAATCATAAAATGTCAACATGAATATACAAACCAAGACCGATAAAACATTAACTCCTGAATATTTGGAGTGGCATGCTAAATTAACTAGTTTACCAAGCATTT